CACCATTGATGAAATTGAACACCTTTATCTTCACATACAAGGAAAATGAACTCTATTTTTTTCCCAATAATTTCCCACTATAGCAGTATCAGTACTAGTATGAAACTGCAGCCATGATTGACAAGATTGACTTAGCTTCTGCAAGGTATTTCCATATTTCAGTTTTACAGCATGATCTTGTGAGCAGACTGAGAGAGTGGGTGGTGATGGGGAGTGGTTACTGACTGTGTGGATTAACTGTTTTTCATGGAGCTCCCTATATATTTGCTCCAGGATCTCCTTTGTCCATTTTCAGTGATGAGTCCTGAATCTTTCATTCATACGTTCAGTGATAGGTCCTGAATCTCTCTTTTCTGCTAGGATTGGTAAGTTTCATTCTGAATTGAGGTGCCATTGCTATGACCTCTTTTTCTAGCGAACTGATCGGAGATTTTGCAGAGCTTAAATTAATTTAAATGGTACATCATATTTCTTTTTCCTCTTCTCATGCAGCATCTCAATTTTCACCTAGTCTTAGCATACAACAACAACAACAAAGCCTTTAAGTCCCAAACAAGTTGGGGTAGGCTAGAGTTGAAACCCAACAGAAGCCATCAAGGTTCAGGCACGTGAATAGCTGTTTTCCAAGCACTCCTATCTAAGGCTAAGTCTTTGGGTATATTCCATCCTTTCAAGTCTCATTTTATTGCCTCTACTCAAGTCAACTTCAGTCTTCCTCTGCCTCTCTTCATGTTACTATCCTGGCTTAGGATTCCACTACGCACCGGTGCCTCTGGAGGTCTCCGTTGGACATGTCCAAACCATCTCAACCGGTGTTGGATAAGCTTTTCTTCAATTGGTGCTACCCCTAATCTATCATTTATATCATCGTTCCGAACTCGATCCCTTCTTGTATGACCGCAAATCCAACGCAACAAACGCATTTCCGCGACACTTATCTGTTGAACATGTCGTCTTTTCGTAGGCCAACATTTTGCACCATACAACGTAGCAGGTCTAATCGCCGTCCTATAAAACTTGCCTTTTATCTTCAGTGGTACCCTTTTGTCACATAGGACACCAGATGCTTGTCGCCACTTCATCCACCCTGCTTTGATTCTATGGTTAACATTTTCATCAATATCCCCGTCTCTCTGTAGCATTGATCCTAAATATCGAAAGGTTTCTTTCCTAGGCACTACTTGACATTCCAAACTAATATTTTCCTCCTCCCGAGTAGTAGTGCCGAAGTCACATCTCATATACTCAGTTTTAGTTCTACTAAGTCTAAAACCTTTGGACTCCAGAGTCTCCTGCCATAACTCCAGTTTCTGATTCACTCATGTCCGCCTTTCATCAACTAGTACTACATCGTTCGCGAAAAGCATACACCAAGGGATGTCCCCTGGTATGTCTTTTGTGACCTCATCCATCACTAAGGCAAATAGATAAGGGCTCAAAGCTGACCCTTGATGTAGTCCTATTCTAATCGGGAAGTCATCCGTGTCTCCATCACTTGTTCGAACACTAGTCACAACATTGTTGTACACGTCCTTAATGAGCCCGACATACTTCGTTGGGACTTTATGTTTGTCCAAAGTCCACCACGTAACATTCCTTGGTATTTTATCATAAGTCTTCTTCAAGTCAATAAAAACCATGTGTAGGTCCTTCTTCTTCTCCCTATACCGCTCCATAACTTGTCTTATTAAGAAAATGGCTTCTATGGTTGACCTTCCGGGCATGAAACCAAATTGGTTCATAGAAACCCGCGTTATTGCTCTCAAGCAATGCTCGATAACTCTCTCCCACAGCTTCATAGTATGGCTCATCAACTTAATTCCCCGGTAAATAGTACAACTTTGGATATCCCCTTTATTCTTGTAGATCGGTACCAATATACTTCTCCACTACTCATCAGGCATCTTGTTCGATCAAAAAATATGGTTGAACAGCTTGGTTAGTCATACTATAGCTATGTCCCCGAGGCATCTCCACACCTCGATTGTGATACCATCCGGTCCCATCGCCTTATCTCCTTTCATCCTTTTCAACACATCTCTGACTTCAGATTCTTGAATTCTCCGCACAAAGCGTCTATTGGTGTCATCAAAAGAGTCATCCAACTGAAAGGTTGTGTCCGTATTCTCACCATTGAACAATTTATCAAAATACTCTTGCCATCGATGTCGGATCTCATCCTCCTTCACCAAGAGATGCTCCCTTTCATCCTTAATGCACTTAACTTGGTTGAAGTCTCTTGTCTTTCTCTCACAAACCTTAGCCATCCTATAAATATCCTTCTCTCCTTCCTTCGTACTCCAATGTTAGTAAAGATCCTTGTACGCTCTACCCTTTGCCACACTTACAGCTCGCTTTGAAGTCTTCTTTGCCACCTTGTACTTCTCTATGTTGTCCACACTCCTGTCATGGTATAAGCGTCTATAGCATTCTTTCTTCTCCTTAATAGCCCTTTGGACTTTCTCGTTTCACCACCAAGTATTTTTAGCCTCGCCTCCACTTCTTTTAGTTACTCCACACACCTCTGAGGCCACCTTTCGAATGTTGGTTGCCATCTTCTGTCACATGTTGTTTATGTCCTCTTCTTTCTTCCAAGAGCCCTCTTTGATAATCCTTTCTCTAAATACCTCTGACGTCTCCCCTTTCAATTTTTACCACTTTGTTCTTTCAATCTTAGCTTGTTTATCCCTACGGGCACGCACCTGAAAACGAAAGTCTGCCACCAAAAAACTTATGTTAAGAAATAACACACTCCCCTGGTATCACCTTGCAGCCCAAGCATGCTCGTTTGTCCTTCTTACGAGGATAAAGTCAATCTGGCTAGAGTGTTGTTCGCTACCAAAGGTCATTAGATGAGATTCTCTCTTTCTAAATAAATTGTTGGTTATCATCAGGTCAAAAGCTACCGCGAAGTCTAGAACTTCCTCCCCTCATGATTCCTACTACCATACCTAAAACCTCCATGAACTGCCTCGAAACCTACGCTTGTAGTGCCTACATGCCCATTAAGATCTCCTCCTATAAAAAGCTTCTCACTACTAGGTACAGCTCTAATCAGGTCATCTAAATCTTCCCATAACTGTCTCTTAGCACTCTCGTCGAGACCTATTTGGGGGGCATACACACTAATTACGTTCAAGATCATATCACCAACGACAAGCTTGACTAAGATAATCCTATCTCCTTGCCTTCTCACTTCCACCACACTATTCTTGAGACTCTTATCAATCAAAACTCCTACTCCATTTCTATTAACGACCGTCTCTGTGTACCAAAGCTTGAAACTTGTATTGTCCACCTCATTCGCCTTCTGCCCCTTCATTTAGTCTCTTGAACGTATAATATATTTACATGCCTCATAGTCACGGTATCAACTAATTCTCTTAACTTACCTGTAAGCGATCTTACATTCTAACTACCTAAACGGATCCTAATTGGTTCGACTAGCTTCCTTACCCTTCGCACCCGTTGACTTAGATGTGAAGACCCTTGTTCATTTTCCACTACACCTGGACGCCGATGTAGCGCACCACTAAGGAAGCGACGACCCGATCCTTGCTCGTTTGACACCATGCCCAGATCGCGACACGACGCGTCACCAAGGGGTGTCGACCCGGCCCTTGCCTATTTAACATCATACCCGGGTTCCGATATGACGCGTCGCTAAGAGGGTTACGCCCCAACGATTTTCTTTCGGTTTCATCTCTATTAGAATGGCTAGATTTAACGTTGGCTCGCCACGCCTATCACAACCCTCCTCGTTTACCAGGGTTTGAGATCTGCTATGTTGAGACATAGAGAGAGTTTAGTCTTAGCATACAAGGAAAATAAAATTTGAATTTTGCCATGAGTTTCCGCTATATCAGTAGCAGTACTAGTAGTCAGTTGAAGCCATTAATTTACAAGATCGAGTCCACTTACTGCACAATCTCTCCAGAATTCATATGCTCGTGCAAAACAGTGTTCAAAATCGATCAGGGTAAACTGAAATTGGGGAATCGAGACTGCATTCTGCAGCACCTAAAACAAAATTTGTCCTCTGTTTATGCAGGATATTTTTATTTTGTTGCGTCAAGCAATTAGTAGCGAGATCAATGATGTGCTTATCAGTACTAAATATCATGACCCTGCTTCATATGACTTTAGTAATTAGATGGTAGCAAAATTAATTTTTCCATGTTCTGTCTCCACTTGAAGGCAATTTAGTTCTGGCTTATCTTCGAGTCAAAATCATGGGACCATCTCCAGAAGCAAGGATTTTATGATTGTTCTTCAAGTTTTGTTCATGTAACAAATAGTATCTGTCCACATTTTTTCTCCAGTGACAATGTCATCTTTTTTCCCGCATCATTTTTGTTTCTTTTAGTTTATATAAAATGATCCAAGAATCTTGAAGCTATTCACCCTATAGCTGCTACACCAATTCAAGAAAGAGTTACAGACTTGTAGCTGCCAAGGCTTTGAATTCTTGTACTTTTAACTGAAGAAATCATTTTATCAATTCAGTTCGTTGCATTTTTAATACGTTTCTATTTCATTTCTTTAGCAGTGTTGTTAATTTTTTTTATTACTAGGTATCTGCTGAAGAGCATATTGTTGCTGAAGGAACATTTTGTTGCAAGTGTAGTCAGTTAGCAAAAAACAGCAACCAAAATAACAGATGTACAATGAAAGGAATCTCAGTCATGTAGCAAACATGCCAACCAGCTGCAGGTCCTTATCGGCACACGGCAGTGACGCACTGTGAGCACTGGACGTCATTCTTGCATGCTGTCGTAATCCGGCCCGGCCCATCGACAGCGACAATCGAGCTCGGCCCAATCCATCATCCTACAGCCCAAACTCGAAGCGGGTCTGGACCCGTTAACCCGTTCAGAGCCACTCTTCGCCAAGGCCCAAAACCCTACTCTATCTTAGCCAGCGCCGTCTCCCTCCCCCCTTCCATTCCCACTCGGACTTGGACCCCCCAAAAACCCTAGCGCCTCCTCGCCGCCGCCGCCATGATCACTGGCGGCCAGAGCTACGTCTCCGCGCCGCCGGCCTTCTCGGCCGACGGGCGCCTCCTCCTCGTCTGCTCGGGCCGCGCTGTCTCCGTCTTCAGCACCGCCACCGCCATGCTGGTAAGCCCCCGCCCCGCGCGCCGCCGTCTCCGCTGAATGAAATTGGTGGGGTGCGGGATTGTCACTGTTGGGGTGTTTTGGTGTGTCGCAGGTGTCGGAGCTGGAGGGGCACGAGGGGGACGTCACCGCCGTGGTGGTGATGGCGCCGCCAGCGCAGCCCACCGCGGCGGCCAAGCTCGCGAGCTACTGCTGGACGGCCGGGCTCGACGGGGTGCTCATCTACTGGGACTTCCTGGCCGCGGAGGTGGTGCGGAAGGTCCAGGTCGGGCTCCCCGTCCACTCCATGGTAAGCTCAACCTGCTCTGGTTATTAATTGGTTTTTATGCTGAGCTGAGAGAATTCGAGATTAATTCTGCCAATGTGCGTGCTTATCATTTGATTTTTGTGAGTGCAGGTGGTTCCTAACATATGTAGGACCTCAAAAGGAGCCAAGGTGTCGACTCCTTTGCATTCATCTCTGTGGAAGATATGAGTAAGCCCGGCAAGTGAAGCAAAAAGCACTGCGTGGGAAGATGAGAATTTATGACCTGACGAAGGGGCGTCAAGTGGGTGGTCTCCTGGCTGAGGTGAGTTTTTTAAGCTTTATACCTTCTCTTGTCACTGTTAAATATCTGACAATTTTCCACATAATTGATCTTGGTATTTAATGTACTTTAAATGGACAGTTATGCTAGAAATAGTAAGTTGAATATCCATGAAATTGCTAATAGTCTTGGTATTTGAATTGAATATAAGACCTAAATTTTCAATTAGGGATTACAGAGTTCTCTTGAAAATGTGATAATGTTATTACCTTTTTAGTGTTCAAAACTTACTTCCCTGCACTACTTGCTCTGATCTAAACAGACACGTAAACCAGAAAATATCGTTGCAAGTAGTTCTGGAGAATTCTTGGGCATTACAAATAAAAGAAAGCTACATATATGGAGCATACCAATGCAAGATTTCAAACCTGATAAAATGAGGAAGATAAAGCTCCGTCACACCAAACAGTTGACCACTCTGGCTTTCCATCCAACCGAGAGAACTGTGGCTGGTGGTGATGTAACAGGGCGGATCTTGATTTGGAGATGTTTTGGAAATTCAAAGTTCTCTGAAAGTAGTGTAAAATCGAAAGAGTATGAAGGAAGGGATGGTGTTAGGGGTGATGATGATGCAGATACTTGCACGACATGGCATTGGCATTCAAGCAGTGTGAAGTTTCTCAAATTTTCTTCTGACGGAGCATACTTGTTCTCAGGTTTGGCTTACTGATTCATTTACCTTCTGTGTACGTCAAGTTAACTCAGTTTTTAACTGGAATACCTGTACTTCTCAATGACAATTTTTCTATTTTAGGTGGTTTGGAGGGAGTTATTGTTGTGTGGCAACTAGATACTGGAAAGAGAAGGTATAAACCACGTCTGGGGTCTCCTCTTTTGTTCTTTGTAGATTCTCCAGATTCTTCCATTTCCTGTGTAAGTATCCTTCTTGTGTCTCTTAACTATCCTTTGTTGTGCTTTACAAGAACCCAATACCTATTGTTGATTTATGAAGTTTTTGGTAACTGTATTCCAGAATGCCACATGAGTTTAGTGCTTAATTAATGTTCCAGCATTGCGCAGATGTCATGTCACTAATCAATTAGAATCAAAATAATAATAGTACAAAAGTGAGACCACCAGATGCCCAAGTCTAGAGTAGAGAGAAATACATTAACAAGTTTATTATATACGGTCATGCATGGATCTCATACTGTTACTATTCCTTGCTTTCTTATGCATTATAGTTTAGATAAATAATTTCAAGTTCCCTCCATAGTTTACCCTCTGAATTTGCTTGAAATAATTTTCTAGTAAAACCTGCATCTATGCTTTGATCACTAGGCAGTTTTCTATATTGAAGATTAATAGTTGAAATGACCATTTGTGACCCCTTATTTTCCCTTGCTACACGAATATGCGAGTAATTACTGATTTAAGTCTGTTTCCTGCTTGCTTCGTCATACAAGAAAAAGGTAACTTATAAAACAAGTTGTTTGTGTGAGTATCCTATGCAAGAATGTTGACAGCTTCCAGATTGTTGAGTGAATGCCTGCTAGTGCTGTGAAATTTAACTATGGTTAACATCACTAAAGATATGCATGTATGTATGCCTTAGTATAAAGAAATGGTTAAATAGTTTTTATTAGAGCTGGCAGAGAAGTAAAATATGGCCCTGCTTTCATATATAATTGTTCTAGAATGATTCATAAATTATTTCTGATATAGGACTGGCTAAGTTACTCATGAGTCATGACTGTGTTGCAAGCTGCATCTTTGATATGGTCTGTTTATTTTCCTGCCCGCTGTGTGAATGTTAGCTGTTGTTCGTATTTCAGGTGTCATGTACAAATAATCAAGTACATCTCCTAAAAATGCCTAATATGGAGGTCATGAGATCTATTGCTGGAATCAAGGTTTGTAATATATATGCAGCGCCAAAAAAAAAAAAATGCATTGTGATTTTACTGTTTCTGGCTTTCCTTCTTTCTAATGAAATGTAATTTTATTGTATGGTCATGATCTTGTGGTGATCTTTCCCTGTATTTTTCTCTTTAGCTGCCAGTTGCTTCCCCAAACTTGGGTGGAGCTGATCGAGCTGTGTATGGATTTGATTATACTAATAGACTTGTTGCTATACCAACGGAAGATTACTGCATACAGTTCTACAATTTGTTTGAGAACGCTGAGGTTTCAGAGGTAAGCGAATTAAGTTCTCATGTTTACTCCATCCTCCTTTGGGCAGTATATCAATTGGTGGGTGTTTCGCATGATTGGCATTTTTACTGAAACTAACCATAACGTTGTTAATCTTTTCAGATGCAAGTATGTGAGAGGAATTTTCAGCCTAATGATGATATCACGGTAAGATACCTCCTTTTCACGTGTTTATTTTTAGTCACATAGTTATTTTTCTTTGTTTATCTCTCTCTTTACATGTGCCAAACATTTGGCACCACTCCTTAATTACTTTTGGTTGCCCTGTTGCAGCAAAAATAAATTTCTACTAGTTACCATGCTTGAATAATTTGTTCTTCTTGTTTGGTATTCAGAATTTAACCTTAGCTTTTGACGTGTTCCATTTTTTCCCTTTGATACAGATGTACATTTCCTTGGTTTCATTGTCAATCGATGGCAATTTGATGTGCACTGTGGATGTCAAGCTTCCTGAAGAAGAATTAGGTGGTCTTGTTACACTGAAATTTTGGAATCATGGGTCTAGAGCTGGACATTATTGTTTGTCTACCATCATTTATGAGCCTCACAGGTTGGTTCATGTTTATAAGGCTGCTGATAGATACAAAATGAAAGTATGATTTGTTCTAACTTTTATATTTAATCTTTCATACAGTGATGCTGGGGTTTCTTCTGTTGCTTTCCGTCCTGGAAGGAATATGGCTGTGAGCTCTTCTTTTGGTGGTAACTTTAAGGTGTGCATGGCTGCTACCTTGGAGAGGATGCTCTGTTTCCTCAATTCATAAGTTCTGTCTTTCTGTTATGTAGGTTTGGGTCCAGAGTTTGTCTTCACAATCAAGTGATGAAAGAAATTGTTCTGGTTGGAGATGCCAATCAGTTGGCTCATACAAGTGAGTTGTGAATCTGTTTACGTTTGAACAGTATCTGTTAATGTTTGATGATTAGAAAGCACTAAAATAGTCATACATGCATTTAGTCTTCCATCATATGATATTGGAGCGTTTAAAATTTTGCAGGAAGAAACCTATGACATCAGCAGCCTTCTCAGCCGATGGATCTGTTCTTGCAGTTGCAGCCGAGAATGTCATCACATTGTGGGATCCTGATAATAACGCGCTTGTTGGTGTCATTGCAGAAACACTATCGGTATCTGATAATTCCTTGACATATTTTTTATGTTTTACCTCTGCCTTAGAATAGCAGTTTGATGTGTCATTTATTGTATTTGCAGCCAGTGACAAATCTTTCTTTCGTTGGGCCATCGGTGTTTTTGATGTCTCTATGTCAGAGTTCGAGACCCCAAATTGCTCTATGGAATGTTTCAAATCTTTCCATGCAATGGTCTTACAGCATTTATGCAGAAGGTACAAACTATGATAGTAGCATAATTTATGCTAAGTCAATACTTTCTGGCCCTGCATCTTTTACAAGGCATTTTTGTGTTTGTCGTATTGAGAACACAATTTGTAGTTCTGATGCTTGCATGTGGATCATGTTCCTTCTTTGAGCTTACAGAGGAACAGAAGCACATAAGATTACCTAACATCTGTGATACATTTGTTGTTGCTCCTTCCCTGTCTAATTCAATTTCAGCATGAATGCATGATCACCGTGATGAATCTGGCCAACCTCAAAGGCTGCCAAATTACAATCTAGTAACTCATTTAAGCTGCTGTTACATTTGAATGTTATTACCTCAGTAGAACTGGTCCTCTGTATTAGTGTTCTAAAGTGTTGTCTGACAGTTGGGGTTGTGAAAACTAATTTATTGTCAGTGAGCGATCACATTTGATCTCATTCTCATTTTCATAGTTGTATTTTCTTTGTACAGCTGCATGCTGCTCTCCAGATGGGAATGAATTTGCTGTTCTTGCTCTTCTGAGCTGTCCTGATGGAGAAACATCAACACAGCAAGACGGAGTAATTCTACTTTTTGATGCAGAAAGCCCAAACCCCATTGCCTCCTGGTCGGTAAAGAAGGTACGTCCCATCTTAGTTATTGATTTTGTCATCTCAACTTGTTTGGGGATATTGCTCATCTCAACTTGTTTGGGGATATTGCTCTATCAAGATGTACTTTAAGGAACTTATTTTGCTCTTGGTGTTTTTAAATATTGTCAGGTTTGTACTTGTATTGCTAGATAGCATAGTATGTTTAGTTGCTTGTTCATTCATTTAGTTCTCTATTTAAATTCGTGTTTGTTTATTTCTTGCTGCATGTATTATTAGATAGCACACAATGGACCAGGGACCATAATGATAATGACAGCTCTTGTTAATGTCACTTTTTTTCAGGCATTGGGTGGCAGCATTTCTTTTGTAAAAGGTGACGTCTCTTTGGATGCAAATGCTGATAGTTCGAGAGACAAAGAGGCAGTGTTGCTGGTTTATGTAAATGGTTCTCATGAATACGTTATCTTTGATCCCCGGAAGAGTGAGGAGGTGGTCGTTAGCAAGAACACGCACAAGAAGATTCAAGCTGAGGAACCTGGTGAGTATTGTATGGTTTGTTACATAGTTCTTGAATGCATTCTTTTTATATTTCACTGCCTACTTTTTCACCTATTGTCCTGACTGCACAATCCTTGTTACTTGCAACTGTTAGTCAGATGGTATTTTTGGTAAACAAACAAAACATAGTATCAATGCACTATCAGTATGTCAGCTTGTTATGTGTTTGTGCTTTTCCAGAAGCTGTTTGCAGGATTTTTGTTGATTTGTACCTTGTGCAAAAACGATTTTCTCCCATTTCCTTTCTACTTCGTAAAAGTGCTGAACCTCTTGTCTGTTGTTTCAGCACCAATCGGCTACGCTTCTATTTATGGAGAGCTTCAAAAACTGGAGTCAAAGAAAGAGGTCTCAGATGTTCCATTCATCCCTTCAGACAGGCCTTGGGAGACCATTTTCAGTGGATCGTCTCATGTTCTTCCGCCTCTCACAAAACTATGTTCCGCGTTCTTGTCATCGTTGCTGGAGAAGCGGCCAGTTGGAAACGAGTGAGGCATCCTAGAGCTGTCCCCACATACAATGGTATACTTGCGAGTTGCAAAATGGAAATGCGGTTGGAAATCCACTGAGCTGAAAGCTATCGATGCCTGCCCACAAAGGCACAAGGTACTTCAGAGATGCTGTGTGGTGCCGTCTGTCTGAGGTTGGTTAAAGAAATCACACGCCCGCGAGGACAGCGGCTGAATCCAAGCTCATTTTGCAGCGATACTCAGACGGTCAGCCTACTGATGGCAGCAATTTTGTTTTCTTCTCAGCTTGACATGTAATCCTGACAGCAAAACTGGCAAATTTTGGCGTGATGTTTCTGATCTGGTAACGCAGTGCTTGTTGATGTGTTGAGACTGTTCAGCTAATGAATAGTGTACGGCACGACTTCTCACGCCTAGGTTGTGTGTGTTTACCTGCAGCAGCTTTAAGTTTACCCCCGCATTACAAGCTGCATCAATACGTGTATACGACCTTAATTACCCGCTCTACTGATGGTTGTTCGGACAGTAAAACTGTAAAAACGAAATGACATGGGCATTGCATGGCCTAACTGAACAGACGTCAAGTCACGCTGCAAGTCCAGCATCAGCCTTGGTCAACACTGCATGCAGCAGCTAGGAGGCGAGTAGGAGAGCAAGTTCGAGCACCAATGCACCATGGCGTGGCGTCGAATGGATGCACGCGTCCATCGTGCATGTCTCCGACGAACCCCTACCTAAACCTCCCCATGGGCCATGGCTTGGGATATAAAAGGCACCGATCGAGATGCCCTCCGCCGTGCAGCACCACGTCGACGAACGCCGTGCCAAGAAACCAGCCTCTAGCAGCAGCAACCGCCGATGGACCGCCGCCATCGTGGCCGCTGCCGCCTGGCCGCCCTCGTCGCCGCGGCGCTCTGCCTGGTTGCTGCGCACGAAGGGAGGTGCGGGGCCGCGGCGAGGCGCCTGCAAGAGGTGGAGGAGGCGGTGCTCGACGTGGCGGACGCGGAGGCGCCTGAGGCCGCCAGGTGGCCGGGAGGCGGGGACGCTCTCGGCGAGGCGAAGTGGCTGCCGATGTCCATGCCGGTGCCGGTGCAGGTGCCGGCGGCGAGCGCGCTGGCGAGCGCGCTTCTGTTCCCGCCAGTGGTGTTCCCGCTGGGCGGCGCGTCGATGCCGTGGCTCCCGGTCCCCGGCACGCAGCACGCGTTCGCGGGCCCCAGCGGCGGCGGCGGGGGGATCCCGGCGCTCGTGCCGCCGTACGTGGGCGCCACAAGGCAGGAGCAGCTCAGCCTGTGGGCGTCGCTGTTCAACCCGCTGCAGGTCAGGCCACGGCTGCCGATCTCCCTCGGCGGCGGCGTCGACACGACGGCGGGGCCCGTCGTCGAGCGCGCCGGGGTCCCGGCCATCGCCAGCGGCGGGAAGGCCGCCGAGGGGGAGGTCACCGTCGACGTGCCCGCCGCCGGCGCCGGCTCCGTGCAGGCCGCCGAGCCCAAGTGGGGCGTCTTCTTGGGCAACATTGATCATCGCAACTAGTACTAGTAGTAGTACAAGACGTATGAAAATGAATGTGCGTGCCCTTCTTTTTGGAAAAACATCAGCAGCGTGCTAAACTTTTTTTTGCATGTTTGAGCAAAATGTTTGTATTAAAATTTAAACAGTCAAGAGTTAGAGGAGCTTGTTATCTATTCATTTTCAGATAATGTTCTATAAACTGTGGTGATATATGTCTTCATTTTGGTTTTAGTTTCATGCAGCATAGCTGACAAAAGTCTCTCTCTCTCTCTCTCTCCTTGAAAAAAAGAGACACTACAGCATCAATAAGCAGCATATGACTAGTGATCATCAGCTGCCAAGAAATGAGAACGCACAGTGATTTGTCATTTCTGTTTTATTTCCAAGCAAATCCAGCAGCCAAAGACTAGCACTAGTGATCATCAGCTGCCGGCCCATTTCTGCCTGGACGGACTGAAAAAGCAAGACCTGTGTTTCTGTGAAACACCTGAAGTCTGAAGATGCGAGCAGACTAGTCGTTGCTGACATTATTCTCCCAATGCGCAACCTTTCTGCTTTTAAAAAGAATCTTGTAAGACTACCAAAAGCGCAATCGCCACTGATCATTCCATGATCGCGTCACAGTTAGCCGCATCAGTGTTTTCTAGCACACAAATGTTTTAAGCGCCTACATCTACATCATCAGCCTTGGCACATACAGATTCATCGACAAAATTTCCCATCTCTTAACAACTAATTTCCAACATATATAGTTTCATAAAGATCCATTTCCACCAAATCAATACGGTTCCGTCCGGAAAGCAGGAATTTCACAGAAACCATACGGAAATTTTTCAAAACCAGTCTAGTTTCACAGAAAAATCATAAAAATGAGAAAAAATTTCAGTGTTCCAAACAGGGCCTACATGATACGGCTGCCTTGTCAAGCATGATCTAGATGATGCAGAAAACTGCTGGCACCATTATGTCAGTGTAGAGGAGTTAAGTGAGGCAATGATGCTAGGAGAGCAGACAGAAATGGTGGTTAGCCAAGGGAGGGATGTGAGCCACAACCACAAGGACAAGGAGGGCCGGCCGTAGCCCCTAGCCGTCATGCCAAAAGGAGCCCTGCGTCCTGCTGCTGGCTTCCCTGCCTCTCGTCTGAGAATGCTCTCAGGCCACAGGCCACAGCCAGCAGCTCAATTCAGACTTCAGAGCAAGAAGAGGCCCCAGATGGAGAATAAAATATGTGGCCAGGATCCCAAAGGATCTGTGTTTGAGGCCACGGCTGTTCTGAATTCTGATGATGAAAGATGCAGCGAGCATGAGATCCCCTGCCAGCCTTTTTTTTTCCTCCTGGAATATTCCCTTTTCCTTTTCTTTTTTGAAAAGATATCCATAATGGCTATCACTTATACTTGTGGCTTTTCTATCAGAAGGGTTCTTTCACTTTTGCCTAATTTGTTATAGAGAGTTATCTCCCCTTCAAGAATGGTTTGTTTCCCATTTTTTTATGTGCGGGTGAAAGCTTTTGAAACAAGAAATGGAATGGAATGGATGTGGTAGCTATAATTCATAATCTTAAAAGAAACAGATAGGAAATTCGTCCAAAACTGTCTCTTTTAACTTTGGAGACGGTACCTGACAAAGAGAGAAAGAGAGAGCACAAAATTCCCAAGGAAAAAAAGGAGGGCATGGATGTATAACTTACTTGTGGCTTTTCTACTTTTGCCTAAATCTGTAATAGGGTTTCCCCTCCTATAAGAATGGTTAGTTTCCCCATTTTTGGGGTGATAACTTTGGTTGTCTTATAAAGTGGTAGGATGCAAGTCCCGTCAAACAGTGCAAATACCACGTGGCAAAACCGCCTTAAATTAGTCTTTGGATAAGAGGTGTGGTTAAATGTTTAGTAAGTCTTTTCTCTAAGGTGTTAAATAGAGGAAGTGAATTGTCTATTGTTAAAATAGGATCCTTAGACACCGAAACACAGGTTTTAGTTGGCTACTATTTTATATGAAAGATAAACAAAATGGGGAGCGATATATAAAGGAGTTCTCCACAAATATTAAGTATGACTCTTATAATTCTAGCTGAGACTAGGAATGAATGTGCTAGGTATAATACACTTGAAAACAATTACTGCTATATGAAATTCATTAAAAAATTATTTCTTTTTTATTTAAAGAATCTTTATATATGATGTACCAAAAAAGAGTGCAAAATTCATGCGAGCAAAGGAGGGTATGGATAGGTTCCCTGCAAAGTTTCTAGTTTTACGCAAAAAACGGTAGTGGAGCCAAGGGGGGCTAGCAGGGGCCATGTGCCCCCAAACATATCACACCAAGATTTTTTACTCCAGACTAGAAAACACCGTGTCATTGTTTTATTTACATTAAAATAGAGTTCAGTAAGAAACTAACAACTTCAGCACGGTCTTTGTCTTCCAGCTTCAAAGTTTCTCCATGCGCTTCTCCGCTTCTACAACATCCAACTTGTCCACTTGAATCCCAACGGAATAACCCAAAATCGCTATTTTTGCTCACGTGTGCGCGAAGCCTTCCTAGGAATCGATCCCGACCTATTTAGATATTTCTTCCATGTGAAGGCTCATCCAATCTGCCCCAAAGTTTGTGCAGCCGTCTTGAAGCTTCGCCAAACTCTCAGTCAACCCAGTAATACTCCACGAGCCAGCCTAATTTACTTTGTTTAGTTTGTCTCATGATTCGTTGTCACATAGAGATAATTAATTATGTAAAGAAGAATTGATAGACATGACGCTAGAACGTCCCATCCTTCTGCCTAACGTAGTCCTCGCCGATTTCGTCGTTGACGATGCCATTGCCGCCGTCGTCGCAACCCTAACCGCCCGGCCTTGTTGACACTTCTCTTGTTGCACCACGTGCACACTGCAAGAGTTATAAGAGCAGCGATACAGCGAACTACCACGACAATAATAATCTGTGCAACCAGATTACTTTGGATATTTCCAGTGGCGGAGCCAAGAGGGGCACATGCCCCCCTAACATATCACACCAAGACTTTTTACTAGTATAACTTTTTAATTTTTATATTTATATTAAGAGGGAGAATATAACAAAATTCTTGTCATATATATCTATTAATATCTTTTAGATAATAATTATATAAAAAATAACTATATAATAAAAGGCACTACATAATAAAATCATTCAATATCCGAAATACTAGGCCAATATATCTCGAGATTTACGAAATTATCGTAGAGCCTACTGTCAACGGGCATGTTGTCTACCACTGAAAGAATACCGCCTTAAATCCTAGAATACATATATAAGAAAATAAGTCGATGAAAATAACTCACACGGTCACTGCGAGGAACCTAACCAGTTGAGTTGCGCTTGATTTTTGCAAGAATCTTTTTATCTTGCCCTACCTATATATAATTCATGACTCCGCCACTGCGCATATAAATAATAAGCTGAAGAAAAGACTGAACAGAAAATGCTTCGGAGTCACGTCTCCTAATAAAAAATGCATCAGATGGCTGTTCATGCAGTAGCCCATACGGATACTGCAAATAAATCAGCGTGACCACACGGAAAACATGTGCTCAGCGTGCGTGTGCATGCGCTGGATATCGGAGCGAGAGTAGACTACGCGCTCGTGTGCGAGCGAGTCCGACATGCACGCACTGCAGTGCAGTGCCGTCACACACTGGGGTACATACACATACACAACACAAAGGCGACGCTAGCTCTGCTTGCTTGTGGAAAAGAAGAAACGCCACGGATCGATAACCATTTCCCGTCGCTCTCTGGCCCGGCCTACTTGTACCCGGGAGAATCCAGCTCGTCCGTCCACCGCCACTGTTCTTGCCCTCGTTAAAAGGCGCCTGCCCGGCCGCCTTGCCCTGCTGCAACAAACCCTGGCTGGCTCTTGTTTCTCACCCGGTTCGCTTGATCGTATCAGCCATACTTATCCGTCACGATATAGTGTTTTTCTCTCATAATAAAATAGTATTAGTCAGCTTATAAGCCACAGAAACAATCAAACCAACATAGCCTTCTGGCAGCTAGGCAAGGCACGGAGAGGCTCTGCGCTGCAGATTTCATTTCATTTCTGGCTGCACTGCAGCGAGAGACCCAATCCAGCTCCAGACTTGCGGTTCCAGGAGCGGATAACACAGTCATCAGGTTCTTGCTCCTTCTGTACTTGCTTACTTTCTCTGCCCACCTCGGTTTGTGTTTGTGTGTGTTCCACCCCACCCCCCCTTCCCCGGTCCTTATATATAGACACACACAACAAACTGAACCATCATATGTTTTTCGATCCAGCTCCGTTTCTTTCTTTCTTTCTTTCTTTCGATCGAACTTGACAGGTCCCCTGTGCTTCTCCTTCAGTGCAGCGGTCGACGGAGAGCTAGCGTCGGATTCCGTGCTCGGTGGGACTGGGATGCGCTGCTCCGAGTGAGGCGCCATGAACCAGTACATCTCAGATTGGAGCGGCGCCATGGGCGACACCTTCGCGCCATTGGGGTTGGTTCCGATCATATCCTGATATCCAACAAAGTTGCTCCTTTTTTTTCAGTAAATCTCGAGTGTTTTTTGATCTCCGCTCACTCGATTTCTGTCGGTAGTGCTGATCGGTCGATTGCTAGCTTGGGGCTGGGATTTATCAGCTGCCTTCCATCGATCTCCATCCTAGCAGTGTACAGCAGCAGCCAGCAGATAGCCTTTCACTGGTACCGATGCATGCAGCTCCGCTCTTCCAAGCAGCACACGCACATCATGCGACTGCTGGCACACGCACAGCGTTGCGTACCAACAGCAGCGTTAGGCCCTAGGAGTATGTATGCATATACGGGTTTCGTTATGTATTTAATCGGTGTAAATTGACTATTCGTAAATGAAAACGGTGAAAATTACTCGAATAGTTAGATGATCAATTTTTGGCCTTTTTTGTTTTCTATATGTTTTATTTGGTTTTTCTTTGAAATTTTCTAATTTGGCTTCCATAGAAATAATCTGATTAATTTTTTTTGTTTATTTAATATTTTATATTATTTGGATAATTTTTTGATCTATTTAACCTGGATGAATCGAGTGTTTGGTGGAGTTAAAACACAGGATTTTTGTTCCCCTCTCATTCGAGTGTTTGTGTGCCGCCCAGCACTCGGCATGCACCCGGAACAACCGACCGCTGGGTAGACACATTTTTTTTACTCCCGTTCTTTTTCCGTCCATGGCTGACGCGGTGCGCTGTCGTGGTGTCGTTGCAGCGGCGACGACGACGGGCTCATCGAGCTGCTGTGGTGCAACGGCCACGTGGTCATGCAGAGCCAGGCGGCGCTGCGGAAGCCGCCGAGGCCCGACAAGGCCACGGCGGTGCAGGACGACGAAGCCGCGGCGGCGTCGGCGGCGCAGGCGTGGTTCCAGTACCCGGTGGAGGACCCGCTCGAGAGGGACGACCTCTTCGCGGAGCTCTTCGGAGAGGCGCAGGCGGCCGTCGACGCCGGCAGGGGGACGTGCTGCAAGGAGGAGGCGGAGCGCGGGGGCGAGGCCGCGCGCCAGAGCAGCGGGATGATGCCGCCGCCGCCGCCGCTGCCGAGGCACGCGCACGCGCCGCGGGAGGAGAAGGCGTGCACGGGAGACGGTGCCGCGGCGAGGACGTCCGCCGGCTGCTGCGAGGCCACGGCGACGGCGACGGAGGGCGGCGAGTCGTCCATGCTAACCATCGGGTCCAGCTTCTGCGGGAGCAACCACGTGCAGACGACGCCGCCAGGGGCCGCTAAGGACGTCGCCAGGGCCCGCGACGCCGCGACGGACACCTCGTCGGCGACGCGGTCCAGGTCCTGCACCACCAAGAGTGAGCATCCCGGTCCCGGCGCTGCCGCTGCCGCCGCCCACCGGAGCGGCAAGCGGAAGCAGAGCGACGCCACGGACGCCAAGGTACGTTCCCCGCCGCTGCCTGCCCGGCCGCAGTCTTTTCACACCGCTGCATCGATCGATGACGACCGCGAATGCATGCAGGACGTGGAGTTCGAGTCCACCGACGTCACGTGCGAGCCGGCGCAGAAGATGAAGACGGCCAAGCGGCGCCGCGCCGCCGAAGTCCACAACCTCTCGGAGCGGGTAGGGCCCTTTGAGTTTTGACCTCTCCAAGAAACCTCTCTCTCTCTCTCTCTCTCTCTCTCATTTCGTGTGGCCGGCCCGCCATTGCAAACTTTCATCTGAATCCGGTTCCGGTGCAGAGAAGAAGGGACAGGATCAACGAGAAGATGAAGGCCCTGCAGGAACTCATACCTCACTGCAACAAAGTAATCGCATATAGCTAGCTAGATTTGGAGCTCTGTTCGTCATCTCCTCGCGATGTGATCTGATCTCATTTCATCTTCTTCTCTTGCATGAATTCTTTCGTCGGATTCTTCAGACCGACAAGGCGTCGATGCTGGACGAGGCGATCGAGTACCTCAAGTCGCTGCAGCTCCAGCTGCAGGTGAGCTTCGGCTTCCTTCCTTCCTTCCTTCCTCGTCGCCCCAAAACCAAGCTCCAGCTACCCAAGAACGAGACATCGACCGACGTGTGACGTTTGCATTGTCGCGGCGCACGCAGATGATGTGGATGGGCGGCGGAATGGCGGCGGCAGCGGCGCCGGTGGTGTTCCCGGCGGGGGTGCACCAGTACATGCAGCGGATGGTGGCCGGGCCTCCACCCCACGTGGCTTCCATGCCCGGGATGCCGTTCATGGCGCCGCCGGCCGTGCAGGGCCCGCCGTTGCCCGACCTCTACGCGCGCTACCTCGCCGTCGACCACCACCTGCCGCCGCCGCCGCCGCCTTTGGTGGCACCACCATACACGGTTCAGCAGCATTGCCTGCAGGGGACGACGATGGGCTTCTACCAGCGGCAGAACCCGGCGCTGCCACCGCCGCCCGCCGTGCCGGCGGCGTCGCCTGCCGACGGCATCCTGCACAAAAAATACGGTACGCCGCAGAATGTGAATGTGGATGTGATGTGAAAATCTGTCGCCGTCGGGTCTTTATGCTCGACAATTGTTTCTTGCTCACACTCAACCACATGCATTGCATCCATCCGTGTCAAACTCAAAAGCTCGCCGCCCATAGATCTCTTGGAGATCCTTTTGGATAGCTCTGTCACAGAGCTACAAATTTCTTCATCTTACATGCACTTACTATAAAGTATAAAATTCAAAAAATTTCATCACTGACTTGACTTTCTCTGTGGTTTTGACTGGATTTTTCAGAGAATTGTGGCAAGCCTGAGATCGGCTGATATGATGGGTCTTCTACATATATGTATATGTAGTTTAGTAATAGTACTGATGGAGTTTGGTTATTAAGACTTGACCAACTTGATTTAGATCGAGATCGATGCCTAATTAATTAGTCATAGCGAAATTTGAGATTTGTTCAGTTCAGTCCCTTGACTGATTAAGTCAGTTTTTTTTCCCTTTCTGTTTGATTGATATAGGCTGAGTGTAATTTGATCGGTGATTGAGATTTGTCAAGTGACGCAATTCTTTCTCACTATATATGCAGTTGGTTTGCCATTTGAAGATCTCCTGAATCTCCCAAAGAAAATGTTGATTGTACTAGTTCACAACTTCAGATTGATGTCAACAGAATTGTGTTGTGTTCCACTACTTGCTGACCATGTCATAATTAGATTACGTTTTGCCTTTTTGGATAGCAAATGTTCGCTTGAACTTATTAGCCGGCTTATCAGCTAAAATCTACAATATTTTTCTCTCATAACAAATCAGCTTCAGCCGGCTTTAATATCAGCCGAACCGAAAACATCATCCAATTATGACTGGATGTAGAATGTGATTAGAATCTTCCCCGCCGTATTTCTGAGATTGTTACAGGGACCATTGGAGAAATGGTAAATTAAGGTTCCCATCTATTTGGAAACTGAAACTAGTTCACCCAAGAGAAAAATTTGAAGCTCCTACAAAAAGGCTGGCCAGGAATCCAGGATGCTCATGCTGCCACAAAAGGGCTTATGATTAATACTCTTATTCATGGCTTATCTAAGAAAAGGTGGCCTACAAGCTACGTATACAAAACCTAATACTCCTAAATCTGTTTGCTATCATATACAGTACCTAAGTTGAAAAAAACTGTTTACCTTTTTCTTCTTATGAGAAAGAAAAGCAGTTGGTGATGGATGTCACTCATGTCTTTTCCAGTTTCCAATAAGAGAGGAACATTACCAATCATTTCTGTGAGCTGATCATCATTATCCATCAATGCTGCTATTATTACCTTTTTCATATTTGGGGAACAAAATAATAACTCCGTCTCAGAAAAGATACAATTCTTGAATAATGTTCAATCAAGCCTTCTTAAATTTATATAAATAATAATTATTATTATCATAGTAAATATATATCATCATATTTGTCATGGAATATATTTTCATGTATACCTATTACAAGTGATTGATGTTAATATTATTTTCTTTAAATTTAGTCAAAGTTAAAATAATTTGATTTGGATAGGACCTAGAATTGTAAAAAAAAATTAGGCGGAGAGTATTTTCTGGTATATTTACTCATACATACCGGACAATCAAGTAACATCTACTAGTGCTAGCCTTGTGTTTCGGTGAGCTCATGGACCATCGCCCTGTTCTTTGGGGCTTATAAGATGTACTTTTTCAACTAACGAACAATATTTTTCTTTTACTCTTACGCCATGTTCAGGTACTTTTCTCTTACTCTTACGCCGTGTTCAGGTACAGGAAGTTGGAATTTGGGGTTATTGTAGCAAATTCGTTTTTATTTGGCAATTAGTGTTTAAACATGGACTAATTATGCTCAAAACGTTCGTCTCGCAATTTCCCACCAAACTGTGCAATTAGTTTTTTTCGTCTACATTTAATGCTCTATGTATAGGCCGTAAACATTCGATGTGACAGATACTGTAGCATTTTTTTTTTGGATTTTAGGGTGAAACTGAACACGCACTTATATTAAATCAGCCAACGGTACTTTTAGTTATGGCTTATCAGCCAAACAATCCCAAACAAACAGGGCATTCAGATGGAGGGGGGGGCGCAGTCCTGTGATCCTGTCAGCTGGTGACTGACAGATTATGACCGGTGACCACACTTGAGCTAATGCATGCATCATGCATGCATGTGTCTACTTTTGCTGGGCTGAATCATGGCTCTGTTCCTTGGCAAGTTTTAGCAGAGTCTACTCCTCTCTTGCAGACCAAAAGACAGTAACCTGCACGGTCAAACTCACGACTCATCCATTCCCAGAGTTGGAAATCAAACTTGCTGAGCTGAATCATGGCTCACGTCATGCATGCATTATGAACTAGAGTAGGTAGTAATTTACTCTTCTTAAGGCTACAAGAGTTGGCAACATTTTTTCAGATCCTATATATGCCTGTGGTATCATGTGATTTGTTCTGAAGAATCCGTTATCATTATGAAACTAAAGCCTCTTCCTTCCTTTCTACAAAGTGTGCTTGTGATATCTTCACTTTATTTTCTCTAAAAAAGAAAAAAAAAGAATGCTTGAGATCATTATCACCGACAGTAGGTTCCCGTGCCCTTCCAAATCTAAGCTCTCAACTTTCCAGATTTGGTCTTTAATTTGGCCCTGTTCATGCACCTAGATCAGGAGACTGTTCACGCATCACTGTGCACGGGGTATTTGCCTTTGCCCGGATCATCTGGCATCACCCTTTTTTTTCCCTTTTCATTACCCGTTTTTTCCTCTGAAGATCATTGGACTAGGTACCCGGTAGGCCGGTACTACGTGAAAACTATTGACGTCCTGAGTCCTGACTCCTGACCAGGTTTTGTGTGATAAGCAAGCAGGATCTGATGACTTGGTCAGAACACAACACTGTCCCAATTGGACACACGGACGGTGATTGCGATTCGATCTTGCGGTGTAACATGTACTACCTTCTTCGCCGAACAGTTCTTTTATGAGAGACTGAATCTGACGAACGGCAAAGTGGGAGAACAACTCGATAGAAGAAGAAGCATGGTCCTGCTAACATTCCGGGAAGCCTAAGCGGATGAGGACCGAAAGGCGACCAGTGATCTCACTGCTCATCTTCCCTGCTTCCCACAACCGTTACCACCGCGTTTCATTACGAGGACCGGCCGGGATCGGAGGTCTCTACCAATCCACCACCCGTCAGCATCTTGCAATCAGACAGACAGACAGACTCCATCAAGCATCAGGAAAAGCAGCAGGGACGCAGATGCAGTGCATGCATCTCCCACAAAGCGCCGGCCGGCAGCCGGCAGAGGCGCCCTAACTGCAATTGCGCGCTGTCTTCCTCTTCTCTTGGAGGTGACAATGAGTGGGTCACCGTAACATGGGGCCGGGGCTTGGCAGCTGGTAAGTAGCAACAGCGATGGAGGCATCTATGGCTTGCTCTCGGGTCTGGACCAGCAGCACCATGTCCATTTCAGCGGGATGTGTGTGTGTGCACCGTGGACCAGGCAAGGGATGAGAATCATGAGATGAGATGAAAGGTGATGATAGCTTGCCTGGCTCTCCAGGTTTACTCACTGTACCATCAAATTCGCAGGTCGAAAAAATGCGTTCATCTGGTCTTTTTTTTTCTCCTCATCAAGAATGGAAGGCCATTTTTTTTATTTTTGATAGAAAAAATAAAGAGAATAGTAATAGTGAAGAATGAGAGAAGACAAACGTGGAGGGAAAGAGGTTGTTTAGCACCTGGGCTGACTGCACAGCATGGGCCTTGTGAGTTCCATGGGCCATGTGTGGAAACTCGCGACGATAGGCCTCCGGCCCTCGTGGCTCGTGGGTATCTGCAGGGCGAAAATCGCTGGGGAAAGTGCACGTACGTGACCTCTCTTAACCTTTTGCAAAGTCCGATTTCTCTTTCTTAATAAAAATAAATAAAAAAACTAGATTTATTTTTCTCCTCTGATTTTTTTGAAACAGTACGATATCGAAATTATGTTGAACTGTTCAGAGTGGTTCTAAAAGTTGAGGGAAATAAAAAAACATTTTCCGACTACGGAGGCGAATCGGACTTCTAAGTGGGAAGTAATTATGTTGAGATGTTAGACTTCTTTTTTCCCAAAATCGTGGTGTCCCCTGCTCCATGTCTAGATCCCACCATCATTTGGTGTGAATTTTTTAGGTTTTTATACTCTCTAAATAGCAAAATCAAACATTATAGGTGTCCTGAACTTGCAAAATCGTCTGACGGACCTCTCTTAACTCAAATACACCTTGGTTTTTTATCTGATATAGCAGCGATTTTTTAACCAGTCAACCCATGACGTGGCAAATGATTAACAAAAGAAATGATTCAGGCCCACATGTCATCTTCTTCACCCTCTCCATCTACTCCAATTCACTTCTTCCGAGCTTGACCACATTACAGAGTAGAGACGAGAGTCAAGCTTGAAATGCATTAGAGATAGAGTCGTGATTCTCCTTCTCGTCAAGCACCAAGTCGCCCCTCTTATTTTACTAGCACGTCGTCTGAAAAAGAACAACACTGTTAAATACTAAAAAGAAATCAGAGAAATGAGAGTAAGCAGCCATGTCAAGTCAAGGACGTCTAGAACCTAGGTTCGACCATAAGAAATTTAAACAGTTGAGCTACGGCTAATTTTTGACCTAACACTAGCCGCAAAAAAAATCCCGCATGCATCAAAACGCAACAAAACGCTTGGCACCTCTAGTCTAGTTGAAATAAAAACACACACACAAATGAAAAGAAAACTTATCTAGGACCTTTAGTAGTTGATTGATGATGATGCAATCACGCATCTTTATCCTAGACGTGCAGCAGCAAGCACTGATTGGAGGCATTCAGATTTCTCATGGGCGATAAGACAGATCAGCTTGATAACATACATACAGTAAAAAGTGTAAAAGCACTCCACTGATAGGAACGGTAGTATCTAATCATTGATGAACCCCGATACTACTTTTACTACTAGCATTACAATAATGGCCAAGACGGCGGCTAGTAGTACAACGAAGTGGGGGGCCTCCGGTCCGGGCTCTCGTGCATGCAGCCAGCCACAGGCCCACAGGCCCACACAGACAGTACAGTACAGTGCAGGCCACCCACTCGACCAGGACTGGGCAGTGCCCACCAAAGATAGCTGGGCAGTAGCAGTAACACTGACGGGCCCCTAGCTAGCACGTGGGCCCCCGCGGAGCGAGCGCGCAGTGGCGCCGAGCCCGCCCTCACCCCTGATTGGCCAGATCCGCACCTGTCACCTACTCCAGCCTATTGCAAATTCTGCAA